CGTGGAGCTTTCATGTTGTGTTCCCCTTTTGACGTTCGCCGGAACCGGGTGCCATCATTTCAAGGCTGGCAGCCGGGCAGCTTAGTCTTCTTCCAGAAGCCGTGCCTGCCTCGCAGACAACAGTTTAAACGCCAGGCTGCGCGGTCTTCAAGATCGCGCGCGAGCCCCTGCCGAGGCTGCGCGTCACGTCGCACGCGCAGAACCGACCATGCTGGACGAAACGTCACCGAGTCGCCCAACTAATGCGTCGAATCCTTCATCCACATTACTGTTGCATCACCGCGCTCGTGCCCTCCACCGTCAGCGTGTTCCCAAACGCAAGCAACGAGCTAAGATAAAACTTAGCAATCTCACGAGTACCAGGCTTTCGTTCTTGACCACGCCGGCGGTGCTCAAGGTTGACAGGAGACCGACGTCAGATAGGGCGCAGTGGTTGAAGTGCGAGTGCACTTTCGGCCGTCGGAGTTTCGCCGGCCTTGAGAACTTGCGCGACATTCGACTTTCCACGCCCTCTTCGGGAGCAGCTGCCCACAGGAATACAATCCGAGACGGTTCTTCGAGGTGCACGGCGGAACTTGTCGACGTGGCGCAAGCCAGGGCCTCCCTTCGCGCTGGCTCGGCGCCGTCTGTGTATTTGTTTCTGCTTTGGGCTGCTGTCCTGCGCCTGTGGCGACTTTTCCGTGGCCGAGTTGGTTGTGGTGGTTCTGGTGCTCGTTGGTTGAATAGGATGGTGGTGAGTTTCCTCGGCGCGCCAAAAGAACGATCCATGACTGATCTAGGTGATTCCCGATGGATCGGTGAGACTTCTGTTTTGCAGAGGTTGCGCACCAAGGCAGCGCGACCTTCCTCGAATCGTCAACTGCGTCCCTGCGCTGTCCGCACTTGCGGTGTCGAGCGAGGACGTCGCCCTGAAGATGTTTCCGGATCGATCCGACACTTCTTCTCTCTTGCTGACCTTTGGGGCTTGCCCTTCCGCTGCGCGGCCCAGGGCGCGGCCCCTGCGCGTGCCTGCAGCCTTGGCCGCGCGGGGGCTGCGAGTTGGCAGCGTGGCTCTCCCCGTGCGGGGGCTCCTTGGCGCATCCACTGTTGTGGAGATCCTCGGCGCCGGCCCGGCGGAGATGTGCCCGTGCGCCCGTGGAGGCAAACAATTTTTGGTCGGCGGGGCGAGAGCGAACCTCTTCCGCTAAAAGCTAGGCGGGCTACGCGCAGCTTGAATTAGGGAGACGGGGCATGGGCGGGCGGGGCCTCAGGCGGCCGGAGCGGGCGGAGCCCGGGGTGCAGGCGGCGCCGAAGAGCTTGCACAGGAAAAGGCACGCCCGTGGAGGCAAACAAAACAAAGGGGCTGCAGAAACGCTGGACATGTGGAGTGCCCTCGTGGAGCTTTGCATGGGGCCTCTCGTTCCATCTTGGCGAGTTCCATTCTGCGCGGGCCGACGACATATTCTTGTCCTCCTCGTGTGAATCCATCGCGCGCGCAATGGCGCAATAGCTGGCAGACGCAATCGGCGTGCTCGGCCTGCGCTGGGAACGATCCTCCCTGCAGTGCATGTCGGCTGGAGGCCCGCCATGTCGCCCGCCCCTCACTGTTCACCCACGTGGGGCCTGGCTCGTCTATGAGAAGATCGGGGGCATGCTGGCGCTTGGGACCGTCGTCGACAGCGTCGGCGCGTCCACCGCAAGCATGGTGCCATTGACTTTCGGCCGCATCTGGGCTCTTCTACAGGCGCCGCCAAGTTATTGTAGCAAATGCTTCCATGAAGGAACCGCTTCACGCATTGCGTCGAGCGCCGTCGACATCTGCAGCTTCTGCGTTTCGCCATGGTATTTGAAATCCAACTGTATCACGTCGTGTCCGGTCTTGCGACTCTGACCGCGTACGTGGTCTTTTGAAGTTGAGACGGAGGCCAGAGGAATGGCGAGCGGGGTGCGTGCAACGAGCCGCAGCCCAAATCCGTCGATGGTTTGATACATGTTCCGTTGAGCCGGTGCACTTTCGTGTGATCGAAGCCATGGTCAAGGCCGCGTGGCTGGGCCACGTTCGACGCGGGAGCCAACTTGCCATGGCGCGGCGATTCTGTGACATGCTCGAGTGGCAGGCCCTCCCTTCCGTGCGTCCTGCAATCCAGCGACGGCGAGAAGGATTGATGCGCGGATCCTGCGGCGCAGTACGATCCCATTGGGACGCCCCCTTCTGCCTCGCCTTCGTGGTGCGTTGTCGGGTTCTATTGCGCGCGTGCGACACTTTCTAGGATTGGATGGGAAACTTCAAGAAGCTTGCTGAGGCGCAGCCCGGCACCTCCCCAAACCGTCCTTCCCTATTGTGTCAGGCGGCGAGGGGAAGAACGCACCAGCCACACAATGGACAACATCTCCGCGTTGTCCCCACACCCTGCTGATGAACGTTGAAACCCTGGTGAGAGACGAATCATGTTCCGCATCAGCAACCAGACCGTGGCCGACTTGGTCAATTGTCACGCGGTGCTGACAGATGACGCATGCCGTCCAGCCTTTGTGCGGAATCGCCGCAACCTCGCTATTCTATCAGCGCGAGGCTGGAGACCTTAAACCTCGACGGCCAGCACGGTGCAGTGGCAGAAGTGCGGGCGCAACCACGGTGCCGACCACATTGCCAGCCATGTCCTCGAGAGCAGGGCGTCCTGGTCCTGGCAGGAACTCTTCTCCGTCCAAAGCGACCCATCGTGTCTGATGGTATGCTGCGACGGTGGGTTCTTCGTGGCTCACATCGGAGCCTGTGCGTGCGTTCTCCTGGACATGAATAAGGGCAGGGGCGCCCTCATGGCTACCAGGGGAGGGTACACCCAACACTGCATGAATGCCATCGAGGCTGCGGGTACCGAGGCACTTCTGAGCGCCCTTCTGTCCCGTCTCTTCCGCTGGTCTTCTCATCGCGCTCCCTCTTCGCCTTTCCACTTGTCTTAGCATATAGCGTTGCCGAGTCGTCTCGGGGAAAATATAGCACAGAGAGTCCATGGGCTCGAGCCGAAGTCTGAATTGAAGAAACGGAGGAGACATATACTTAGGACGACAAGGAGGAGGTGGAGGAGGAAGTAGGGGGCCACATGCGAGCCCTACCCCTACCCCACACGATTTCTGAGGGGGAGGGTGGGGTTCACTTCGTTGGGGAGCTCTCGAGCGAAGTGAACCCCACCCTCCCCCTCAGAAATCGTGTGGTGGTGGTGGGGGGGGGGTAAGGGCAGGGTTCGCATGTGCCCCCCTAGGAAGAATAGTACATAGTAAAAGAAATAGAAAAGAGGAAGAGAAGGAGGCGGAGGCGGAGGCGGAAGAAGAGGAGGAGGAAAAGGAACGCGGTTGGGAGAAGGAGGAAGGAAAAAGGAGAGGGGGAGGGATATCAAGAGAGATAGAGAGAGAGAGAGAGAGAGAGAGAGAGAGAGAGAGAGAGAAAGAGAGAGAGAGAGAGAGAGAGAGAGATAGAGAAAGAGAGAGAGAGAGAGAGAGAGAGAAGGGAGAGATATCAAGGCCTGTCTTAAGGCCTCTGGTGCGCCTGTCGGGGCCTCCTGGGGCCTCTCGGACTGATCTTGGGGCATCTCAGGGTGCCGAGCCCGCTTGCTGGGGACTTGTCGGGGCGTTCGTTCGGGCGTTGTGGCGCCTGCGGGGGCTTTCTCGGGCCCTTTCGGGGCCGTGATCGCGCGGTCATGTTGCCGTCTTGTAGCTGTTCGGGGTCGCTCCTGAAGCCATGTCAGGGCGGAAAGTTGAAAACAAACCGACAGCGCCAAACCAAGTTGATGTCGTGAATGTTTTTCACCAGCTGGGGCCCCTCGGGCTCTCTTGCGACTTGTGCTTGGGCCTCTTGTCGTTTCTGCTGGTCTGGGGCACGCAGCTTCCCCGACCTCGGACACCACGCTGGCCCGCCGTTTACCCGATCGCCCAAACGAGCCCCTCACGAGGAAAGGGCAGGGACGCTAGGGCAGCCATCTCTCACGCTGGTGGCTCCAAAGGGGTCGGCGAAGGTGAAAGTGGTACACGGTCATACCCAACAAGGTATCAATTACCTCAACGTCTTGGCGAAGCACATCGCCCGTGCTGGCTTTCCAGTTGGTGGCCTCCTCGGCGGTGACGACCATACTGCGGCGACAACCAAGCCTTCCAGGTGTACCCGCACCTTGTCCCTGTGACAGCGTGGTGCGGCGCACGCGCGCGCGAAGAGTCTGCTGCATACGGCAGGGGCGCGGGCGATTGCTCACTTCTCGCCACGGCCAAGGCCAAGGCCTAGGGTCCGTAGCACCGGGCGCGCCTGGCCTTTTGCAGCGCTGCCGTCGTGATCAACCCTCCCCGCTATCTGCCTGCGATATGGCAATGAAGCTACGGAGCCGCCGCAATCTCGGCATGCACGCTTCAAAAGCACAATGGTCCTCAGGTTCAAAACAACCCGCGATCAATACGCGACCGGTCGGCTCAACAAGATGCCCCGTGCTAAAGATAACGCGTTGGTTGCGGCGAGCGTTTCTTACATTGACACATGCGCAGGCGTACATGTGAGTGTTGCACGCTGGACCGTGTTGGGATGCGTGTTGGGGCTTGTTGATGAGCATCCTGTTTGTTGGGTTACGGACGAGCCCGTGCGCACTGCAATGAATGCACTGCTGATTTCAAAGCTCCGGTCTGTCTCTGCGTCTCGAAGTTCGTTTGACAACGCTCGAGTCTCTGTGTTGCGTTCCAGGTCCGCGGAGGAAGGTGTGCAGTGCATCGCCGCCGCTGATTTTGCCCATCCTCCTGCTTCCGCCTCCGCCTCCTTCTCCTCCTCCTCGTCTTTCTCGTCGTCGTCTCCTTCCCGTCTTTCTCGTCGTCGTCTCCTCGTCTTTCTCGTCGTCGTTGTCTCGTCTTTCTCGTCGTCTTTCTCCTCGCTCCCCCTGTCCCCTGCCTCCTCGTCTTTCTCGTCGTCGTCTCCTTCTCCGCCTAGATCCCGCAGAGCCTTCGAAACAATCCCGAAGAGAGGGATCAGCTGCGGAGAAGCGCCGGAG